AAAAATCCCACCACCACCTTGATCCTTTACGAAGACTGTCATCTCGAGCGATCAATCGCTGCAAGAATTTTAAAAAGTGGGTATACCGTTCGAGTCTATGCAATGGTTTTTTTTGGTGAGACACAGGGTGCGCGGTATTGGTCTTACTCTTCTTTGCTAAGATTTATCCTCCAGGGCCTATCGAACTAGGAGGTGACAGCAAAGTTCTTCGGACGTGGGTTTAAATTTTAACCAAATGATAGTTAAAGTGTCATTCTTCGAAATAATTTAACTCTTACAAGGTTAAACGACCTTCATCAATCGGGTTTGGGATTGGAGTTGTCCTTCTTTTACGAGGTTGCCCGAAGGCTAACAAACCTTCCTCGTACTGGTAAGCACTGGTATCTTATCGACTATGTCTTAGCGTACTACAGAAATATTCACAATATCCATCACACATGAGCAGTGTCTGTTGCAGAAAATTTTTGTGGTGTAAACTTATTCTCCACATCATGCTCAAACCTAAGAGGGCTGGAATTCCAAGGAGAAGAATTCAAAATTAACAATCTTCAGACGGCTGAAGACAATTTCCAAGTAAACTTTCAAACTAGGCTTGAAGACAACTCGCAGATCCCTCTCCTGAAACTCTTTGACAACATATTTAAAATAGGATCCTGAAATCATTAGGATTCTCCTTCAAGAGAAGCAAAAATTGGTTTGACGGAAACAATCAAGACGTTGCGAAGGGGTTAGTAGTACTGTGTGTAAACTAAGATTAGTAAAAATTGACTTAGCTCGTGAGATACGATGTAATAAGATGAGTTGCAAAGTTTATTGTAATTAATTTGTTGATAATACAGTTAATCGTTGGTAAGTATGAATAAATATAATCGGTCTAAATTCGAAATATAGAAAAACTGACAATGATTAGGAGAGGCAAAGGGAATGAATTTATTAAGTAACAGTTTGTTGGGAGATGATAATTTCTGCAAATTGATTGTGCGGAAAGGAAGATGATGTCGTGAA